GCGGACAATAATAATTGCAATCGTTTTTGAATTTCAAATCTTTTGATTTTTTATATTAACTCTTCGGAATTACTTAACAACACCGCTTATTACGAAACAATTATCTTATGMGTACTGACTGTTTTTTTGTTGTTTTTAAAATTGCTATTGAATCTAATATTTTGGAATGCTACGTCGGTGGTTATATTATTATTGTAATGTGGTGTTTATTTGCAGTATACGCCGCAGTGGAATCGCGAATTAAACAACATTATACATACATAATATTATACAGAGTGGCCCTTCGAATTTTTCTGTGTTAAATATATAAAAAAACTGAAAACACAGTGACTACTCTGTATAATGTATATACCAGCGCTATACTAAAATAATAATAGTATACGGTATGCCGATGCATGAGCCGGGTGTACACATATTATATTTGGGTTTATTTTTGTGATGTTTTTATTATTTTTTCGTTGTGTGTGTGTGTGCAACGCACACGCGATTTCTAGAAATCCTTCRTCGACCTTGACATAGTGCGTAGGTTATGGGCGACGGCGTGGCGTCGTCGTCTCGCGCGTTAAGTTTTACATATTATATTAGGTATATTATAATTTATAATAATATTTCAAAATCATTTGCCCGGCCAACGATTTTCTTTGGAACACGCATTTTCCGTGGTGAAATTATAATATTTGTATCATTATTTAACTTTGGCTTGCAAATGTCCCGCGTTCCAGGGCATTTTTTAGTGATATTTTACTAGGTGTCCACTTTAAAAAAAATTAGCTAACCTTTATTAATTAAAAAAAAAAAAAAACAACAAATTATAAAATAATTATATAATAAAAACATATAATAAATATTAATTAAAATATATTATTTTATATTACCTAGGTACACGTCAATTATTACAATTTTTAAGGTAATTATTGGGCATAACATAAATAATGTTTTTTTCAATAAATAAATAGATAGGTAGGTATGTCAAAATATTTCAGTTGGTACCTACTTCAAAATGTATTTTACTTTTTTACAGTAAGTATATGCAATACATATATGTGTACATTGTGAAGTATTCACCTTAATATGAATTACTCTATATACTTTATACTGATCATAAAACATAACAAGTTAAGAAGAAAAATTTACCTCATTACTGCTACTTTCATTCAGG